GAACGGTGAGACGGACGTGTAGTTCAGTTTTGGGCACGCGTACGGTGCTGCAGGGATTATATATAGGTGTAGTAGTACCTCTTCGGGCTCTTGTACACCTTTTTCTTGCTACGTGTGCGTGTTCTTTAGATCCTCAGATGGCTCCAGCACTTTCGTGACCACGGGCCGAGAGTCTTTGCTAGATTTTGGCATTTAGCAACTGGCATACGGTTTAATGTGAAGTCAACAACAACAACAACAACAAGTTAGTGCTATCATGATATCACCTTTTGTTTCCCCGCGGCGTCGAATGTGCCGGGTTTGGAGACCACGGGCTACCCATTTTTTGTGGACTATAGCTAATGTGAGAAACAACAACAAACAATACAGGAGGGGGTAAACACCAGGGCTTTTTTCTTTTTTCTTTTTTATATATTTTCATGCCCAACCTTGCTCCTGCGGTGCGTGCTGAAATTTGTTTTTATCGCGGGAAGGGTCCAGCCGTCCCTTTCCCTTGTCAACGGTGCTAACGTCGAAGTTTGGTACTCCCGAGATCTTTTTAGCTTTGTTTCGCTTTAACCCGCAAAGGTTTGCAAATGTTTCACCCCGCATAGGGATTCGACCTCACGACCTCTGCGACTAGCGGTTTACGAGGATACCACTTGATAAGACCACCGGGGCGACCCGATCTGTACAGAAAAGTCTACGGCGGTAGAGCTATGCATACCAAGCGCTGTCCGCGGGGTGATTAGGCTGTTGTTGTTCATTGTTCATCATGCACACCAGGAAGGGAGAAGGGGGCAGGGAGGGACCCGTAGAGGGTTGTCTGGTATTGTGTGTGAAACGGCAAGCGCCGAGACTGAAAGTTGAAGCTCGGTCCCGATCGATGGCCAGATCGGCAAATATTTTGTCTGAACGCGCGCTGATTGGAGGAAATGTGTACAGGTCATCGGTCTAATTATGCCGCCTTTTTGTAATTTCGTCTCGAGACATCTAGACAACTCCCGTGTGCTGCTCCTTGTTATTGCCATCAAAGACGAACACCCGGAGACCCGCGCGAGCACAGCGCTTCCTGTGGACGGTCGCTACGCACTCTGTAAGCTCTCAGTGTGTCCTACGACCAGGTGAGGGAGAAATATGGCCGGCCGGCCTCGTGAGAGAGACGCGTGTCTGTGTGTGTGTGTGTTTTATTTTTGGCTACGGCCGTGAGCAGCTGCTGGGTCGCTGCCCGAACGAGTGACTATATCCAGACGATGCGGGTGCTGCTGGCCTTTATTACGTGAATGCTGGACGTGCGGTGCCAAAGGATTTGTGCGGCATGTGTGTGTGATTCCTCTGCTTTGGGCGAATGGAAGTGTCAAGGTTTTGGCCATATCAAACCGGACCTGGCCGCTATCGTGGCTCCGTAAGTGTCGATTCTACCTAATCCACCGGGTCTTCGAACTTTGTTCGTTCGCGACGTAGTCTAGTCTAGATAGACTACATGTTGTAGGCCCATCGATACCTGCTGCTGCTGCTGCTGTTGTTGTTGTTGTTGTTGTTGTTTCTCACATTAGCTCTATGGTCCACAAAAAATGGGGAGCCCGTGGTCTCAAAACCCGGCACACACGACGCCGCGGGGAAACAAAAACAAAGTAGGGTACAAACCACTCGGAAGAGAAAACAAAATGATAGAAAAGAACAGGTACCGCACCGACCGTTGGAGAAAGAGCCTTCGGAAACCAATCAATACATACAACCGGCCACCTCGCAGCCTGCTAAGGGCCAGGTAATGGGTTCGAGTCCCGGCAGAGTGAGTTTTTTCCTCGCTAAATAAATCCTGGTCTAGGATGAAAGCGACGCGTTGCAAAGCTCGCTGTTAGTAAACCATAATCGACTTCGACAGTCGCGAGGGAAGGGATTGCTGTACCCTTCTCGCGATAAAAATACCTCAGGCAGGAACCGCAGGAGGGGGTTCAGCCCCCCCCTCCTATGTGACCCCGGTTGGGTCGTCTAGCTAGTAGAAGTGGAGGATAGGGGCCAGAGGGACAGACGACAGAATCCGATGATGGGAGAAAAAAAGGAAAAATACAGGTAGATACACAAGATGGCTACCGAACTGCCTTGTTGAGCCTGTTACCCACAGGGGAGATATCGTTGTATGTTGTTGTTGTTGTTGTTGTTGTTGTTGTTGTTGTTGACTTCACATTAAACCGTATGCCAGTTGCTAAATGCCAAAATCTAGCAAAGACTCTCGGCCCGTGGTCACGAAAGTGCTGGAGCCATCTGAGGATCTAAAGAACACGCACACGTAGCAAGAAAAAGGTGTACAAGAGCCCGAAGAGGTACTACTACACCTATATATAATCCCTGCAGCACCGTACGCGTGCCCAAAACTGAACTACACGTCCGTCTCACCGTTCGACTACAGCAACATCACCCCCTACTTGTCCCACTCTGTACCAAAACGAATGATTGCCGACTACAGCATACTTGCTGTCTGAAGTGCTGTCTGTACAAAAACACCATGGTAGGCATGGAACAAGAAGCTGGCGGGGCACAAAGCTGCTGTCTGAAGTGCTGTCAGAATGTGTCTGCGGACGTACAGTGAAAAAGAACAACCAACCAAAGCCATGATTGCAATGGACAATCACCCGAATCTCTCCCGATCGTCTGCGTTAGGCACGCAGTGAAAATATCGACAATAGCTAAGAATCGTTCCACATTGAAGGGGTCTTCCACGATCAGGCACATAACCAAGGCACCCGGGTTAGCCACGCCATCTCTGACGGGTCTCTCTACAAAACCAGTGACGACGTCATCACATAGAACCAACACCGAAAATCAGGAAAAAAACGAGAAAAATTGACAACACAGATCAGATATAAATGTTTGTCCGTGCGCCACGGGTCGATGTCGCCCGCATGCTCCGGTGCCGCTGCTCCGTCCGGCGCCGCTGTAGTCAGCCCGAGCATAACGCCACTCGACCTGCTCCGTCCGTACACGCTCTCGTTGCTGTCCTTCCCAGTCGGTTCCTCGCTTTCTCCCTCGTTGCACTCAAGGTTCTTGGTCTGAAAAATAAAAATTCTCGCGCCGAAGGGGTCAACCAGCCCAGTTCAGCTCGTCGCCACCTGCTCCCTCCTCCTTTGATGGCGAAGCCAGGTTACTGAGGCAATGCAGCGCCCTCTAGCCAACCTAGGGCCGTGTACATAGTTCCCGTCCACCTTCTGACGGTGTCTGCCTCCGCGCACAAAAAATGAGATGGGCATCGCTGCCTACGCCGACGGCCAGAGGCCCGCGCATCTACATTTTTTCGCCTGACCCCATCAGTGCCGACCCAACTACACCACCACGCGCATGCCTCGCGGCGGATATGCGCAGCAGCAAGAAGGTTTCGGTCATCCCTTGAGGGTGAGTCTAGCCCTGCTCGCCAGAAAGACCCCCCCCTTCACTACAACCCATGTCTAAGCAAAAGCTTGTCGAGGAGCGAGGGGAAGAAGGGAGGATAACTAACCCTAACCCTAACCCTAACCCTAACCCTAAGTTGTATGCTGTCTGGGAAACTGTAGACATACAGGTAGCCTTTCGCTCACGCTATGAATTAATTGCTAATCTATCTTAGACTTGTTTCTATAGATGAGATGGATTTGTTGTGTGATATTAAGAAAAAAAAAAAAAAATGAAGGAGGAGGACGCTTCCCACACCCGCCTAAAGAAAAAACCAAAGGGCAACGTACCAGCACCAAGCACTACGCACCAGGGCATGGGAGTAACGGAGCAAGCAGGACAAAGAGGCGGCAGATGGGCACACAGCCAGATGTACAAAATCAAAAGGGAAATGGACAAAAGTGGGTATACCCACGCCATTCTCGGACAAAAGTGGGTTCTCGAAAAGCCAGCGCGCGCGCACTCCCAAGGCAACCCCCAAACGACTCAAAACCCCATTCTGACACCTGGGCGACACATCCAGGGACCATGCACAGCACGGACATCGATTTTTTCCCACGTTCAGGCACACATTCGGCCCTAATACCGCAGAGGCGCGCAAGGCCTCACCAGAGTGCCCAATTCTGTCCGACAACGCGGTGGGTATACCCAGCGGCGTCAACTAATTTTTTCATGTACCCACTTGTGTCTATATTTCGACCCACTTTTGTCCAAATTGTACCCACTCGCGTCCACTTACGGACGGCGGAAATCGAGCGAAATCGACCTCCACGTCATCGCACGGCGGAACATCGAATAGCCTCCGAACGTCTCAGAACCTCCCCACACCGTATCCATGGCATCTTTCCTATCCACGGCTGCCGAGTGCGGACCGACCGCGGAGGAACATGTCAGAAATATGCCAGCCCCTTCGGTACCGGCACGGGAGGATGCCAGGCACGGGAGGATGCCAGGCACGGGAAGATGCCCGCGACAAGCCCGGCAAGCAGCGCACTAACGGCAAACGCCACAACTAAATGCGTGACACATAACGGACAACAAAACCAACGGGCGCGTATACAGAACAAAAAGACGCGCATACAGCAACAACACACACACGCGCGCCACACACACAAAAACACCACCACGACGAGTGCACACCGACTCGTGAGGGCAGTAGCAGCATGTCGAGGCAGTTTACCACGCAACCCTAAGCGCGGCACCCCTGAACTAGTAGTGCTTCGAAGTACTTGGTATGCATGCAAAGTATGAAACCATGTGCATGCCAACTCCTATGGTTACTCCGGAGTACGCAATGTGCGGCCCATTTCTTCCTTAACCCACCATCCACAAAGTAGCAGCGAACGACGTAGCGTGGCGAACGGTATTCTTCCCGTGCCTGGTATCCTCCCGTGCCGGTACCGAAGGGGGCTGGTGTGTTTCTGACATGTTCCTCCGCGGTCGGTCCGCAGTCGGCAGCCGTGGATAGGAAAGATGCCATGGATACGGTGTGGGGAGGTTCTGAGACGTTCGGAGGCTATTCGATGTTCCGCCGTGCGGTGACGTGGAGGTCGATTTCGCTCGATTTCCGCCGTCCGTAAGTGGACGCGAGTGGGTACAATTTGGACAAAAGTGGGTCGAAATATAGACACAAGTGGGTACATGAAAAAATTAGTTGACGCCGCTGGGTATACCCACCGCGATGTCGGACAGAAGTGGGCACTCTGGTGAGGCCTTGCGCGCCTCTGCGGTATTAGGGCCGAATGTGTGCCTGAACATGGAAAAACATCGACGCCCGTGCTGTGCATGGTCCCTGGCTGTGTCGCCCAGGTGTCAGAATGGGGTTTTGAGTCGTTTGGGGGTTGCCTTGGGAGTGCGCGCGCGCTGGCTTTTCGAGAACCCACTTTTGTCCGAGAATGGCGTGGGTGTACCCACTTTTGTCCATTTCCCAAAACAAAAGCAACAGCAGAAGCGAGATCAAGGTACCCAACACAGCAGAGTATGGAGGACATGAAAAAGAAACACAGCACAGAGGCCGAAGGCAATACAAAGGACATACATAAAGGAGTATAGCATACAACAGGAAGGGAAACAGGGCGCAACAACATCAGCCGGGTACATTGTTCGCCACAAGCGCTGCCTCGGCCGCCCTACTCGCTTCTACAGCAGTGCCCGGTCGCCGTTTCTTCCCCCCCACCGCCGCTTAAGGCAATGCAAGGGACATGCATAAAGGAGTATAGCATCGAGCAGGGAGGGAAACAGGGCGCAACAACATCAGCCGGGTACATAGTTCGCCACAAGTGTTGCCTCGGCCGCCCTACTCGCTTCTACAGCATTGCCCGATCGCCGTTTCTTCCCCCCCACCGCCCCGCCCCCCCGGTGTTTGCCATCGGGGTTGGGTTTACGTCGCTTGGCAACGACGTTGTAAAACAAGCCAATTCACTTCGTGAACTCGGCAACCAGGTTACCGTTTTTTTTTTTATCTCTGCTATTTTTTGGCAGTATCCATAATGGTGGTCGAGTAGATCATCTTGTGCGGGGTCGAGAACCTCACTCCGCGCAAGGGGGATGATCGCACCACGTTGTGTTAAAGTGGTCAAGCACCCTCGAGGCAGTTACACAGTGCTTACAAGCTTGTAAATGTCCCTGGAAGTGAAGCACCAGAAAACAAATTGAGCAATACGCAGCTGTCATCCGTATGCAAGGAAGTAAGCACAAGATGCCGAACACCCTTAGCAGGATGCAGCGCACCCTCCATGCGACTTGCCGCATACCTCACGGCGCTTTGCGCTTGGTGATGTGAGAGCCTGGTCCGGTGAGAACCCGTCGCGCTCCGTCCCGGCTTTGTAGGGATGCGGGGTCAATGGTCTAACGACTACGGCATGCACGACTTTGACTGTATTTGGGACGAAGTGGTGCAGAGGGCCAACGGAGGCCTGGAGGGGAACGTCAAGCAGATGTGGGAAGGGATTAGTGGCATGTTAAAAAAGACCGCGCAAGGGGGGGATACAGGGGTAGCAACTTTGCGAGGTGTGAACGGTGGATTAGTCAGCAGTGGGAAGGGAAAAAGGGAAGTTCCTGTCTCTTATACACATCTAGA